GTTACAGGCTGACTTCAGATCTGGTTTAGATCATTGTTACTTATAAATTATATATTTTTCTGGTATAAATCTGCTGTTTTACATGATTGTTGAATGAAATTTAACATAATTATTATTTTTTTGTAAAAACATGACAGATAATCTGTGAAACAGATCCAGTTCAGCTGCTGGTTATCTATTAGTTTCTATGGAGGCTGTGATCTGTTGCCGTTTTAGACGCCATTTTTGCTCCTCCATGCTGTCACAGACACTACCAGTGTACGGTATGGGCGGGGCTCAGTCTAGTGATATTTATATGTAAGTCTACGGTTTGCACCAACCTGCTTTTTTTATTTTTTAAATGAGCTGCTTTTTTCTGAGTTTGAGTTTGGGTATAAAAAGGGGCAGATATTATAAGATTTATTCTTCTTCTGCTGCCTTTTATTTTATTTGATTTTATTTTGATTGCATGTTTTTTTTTTGTTCTTTCTTATGTATATAAGTGTTTAAATGAAATGAATAAATTTCTAAATAAATAAAAAATAAATAAAAAGTTTTAAGGTCTTATCTGCAAAATCCTGCCCTCCCACACGAGCTACTTATCTTCACACACATTATCATGGTTAATCTGCCTTTACTGCTCAGTTTCCACATTTCACTCAGTTCAAACTAAACCTGACTGAATGTGAAACTCAGCACCCAACAAATGGGTAAATAATTTAGGAAGGGATTTTATACTTGTTGTACCCAAAGTTGCAGACTTCAGAAACTCCCTCAGCCCACATTTCCATCGAACATTCAGATGTTTGGTTCTTCTCAGCCGTCATCTGTTAACTTTTTGTGATCTTACCAAACACTGACGCCCACTTCACACCTCAACCAGCTAGAGGTGAGGAGGTGAGAGGGCAGCTGGGTTTATTTACCCCCACAACCCTGTCCATTCCTCCCCGAGAAAACTCCCTGTAGATGTGAGATCTGATAAAGGTGTCTGAAGGTGAAAAGGTCTGCCACAAAAAAAAAAACAACCCTTTAAAAACTGTTCTAAAGGTTAACATTTTAGGCTTCTGATCTTCTAAATGAAAATGAGAAATGAATGTTTAAATATTGTGTAGATGCCTGAAAGAAGAATAAATTGTGTTGTTTTGGACACAACGTACAAACTATTACAGACTGATGTGGGTAGAATTTGCAGAATGCTGCATTAATGCACCATCTAACACTCTGTGAATCCCAGACGCAGACCCACCTGGATCTGCTGGGGGTCCATGATGTTTACGGGGAGGTTGACTGTTCCCAGCATCATGTAGTTATTAGCGTTGCGATCGTGCGGTGCTTGCGATGTTCCCGGGAAGGACGAGGACGGCCCGCTGTCAGCCAAAGTGCCCCCTGACCCCGAGCCGGGCTGGGATGGTGGAGGTGGGGCCCTCTCCACCAGGTGGATCACCTTTCCACCCACATCTGCAAGAAAGCGCAGGGGGAACGGAGGCAGAATGGAGAAACTGAATTCATCAGAACTTTGACATCTTAATATAATTAATTTACTGCAGCTCTAAAATATAAAAACACTCAAATAAAAACTATTGAACTAAATGAGTTAGAAGGACTTACTGTAATCTGCCAGTGTTCTTTCATCCTGAAGCACTCGACCCTGATAGATGAGCCTCTGTTTGTCCACAGGGATGCCCACTGAGGGGGCAATGTGCTCTTTGAACTCTTTCACCGTCAGCTAGGAAACAAAGCAGCAGAGAGACGTTAGAGCAAGAGAAGGCTGGCACAGAATGGCTTTTACCTCCCAAATGTCAAGCAGAGACTTTGGACTCACCTGAGAACCCACAGTGTAGCTTCTGCTCTGGGAGTCCAGTGTTTTCACCGTCACTTCTATATCAGAAGCTTGTTCCTCCATGGTGTTCCTGCATTCACAAATAACCACAGTTACAGTTGAGTCACAGCCCCTCAGCTGGGAGAACCCTCTGAACTCTTGTTTTTATAACCAAAACCAAACTTATGTTCCTATACCAAATTCATTTACACTGCAAACATTGTCCATCCAACTGAGTCTTAAAATCTTGTATCCAGACAAAAAAAGTATTTTTGACCTTGATTTGAAACTGATAAACTAAGCAAGAGCAGAATGTTTTAGATTATTAATCTAGCTGGCCTGTTTTTTTTTTTTCCCCAAGAAGTCGTACCAAGTGCAATTTTCTTATTCCACTGGCAGATTATTTTGCTTAATTTGAAAGGATTCAGACTAAAATCTGGTATTTTAAATATTTGTCGTGGAGTCGAAGTGGATTATCACAACTAGAATATGTTCAGTTGGACTCAGACTGGCGTGGGAGCTTAGGGGATTAAACATGTTCCATTGGATGTTAACTGTAAATAAATAATAAAAAATAACATTTCTGTGCAGAGTTTACATGTTCTATACGTGCTTGCATGGATTTTTTATGGGTACTCTGGTTTCCCCCACAATCCAAAAATAAATAAATAAATAAAAATGCACATTAGGTTGCCTTCCAGCGCAGGCCTCCCTCACAAAAGAGATCCATGTTGTGGGATTTGTCTGCTTAAATAAAGGCAAAAAAACAAACAAACATTTTTTAAGTAAGCGGAATAGGACTGTAACCCAACTGAACTTTACCAGAACATGTAATAAAAAACATGTGTTCTGCTGAATTTGATGACCTGATACAACTACCAAAATGTCAAATATAATCGATTAGTTCAAATCAATTAACTTCTATAGGTGATGAATGCTAAAGTAGCAGGTTTTCCCATTAGAATGTGCTCTTTAATGTCACTGCAGTCCACTCTCAGTGGTCCTGATCTAATGTGTGTTCATTTGGATTGATTTACATTTCCTACATTTTACTTGTTTTACCTTCCTACTTTGTTGTTTTAAATATTTTTTTCTTGATCACATTGCTTTATTTGCTGACAGCTTTTAAACTAATGACAAAAGCTTCACATCTCCTAGCTTCATATTCATTTCCAGACTGATTTAAGTATTTATTGTTATTATTTACTTATTGTTGTTATTATTTATTGTCGTTGTTATTATTTTGTTCTGTTGTTTGGCTTGGCTGTAAAGGTATTTAGTCTGATTTCATTTGTTTTAAACAGTAAATAATAAAACTGAATCAGTATGAGCTAACTGGAACAACATTTATGGGCAAATTAAATTAAAAAAATATCAGTTTTATATAAAACAGCTCGAACTATTCTGAACGTCATTGTTTGGGCTCTGTTAACAATATCAGCCGTGTCAGACAATTTAAACGAAAGCAAAACATATAAGACAAAATAAGGAATAGTCCGACATATGCTAATATTTTTGTACGTTGGACAGTTTTTTACGTTAGGAAACTGTTTACTAAACTAATGGGAGCTAACGTTGGTTCGGCCTTTTCATCCTGCTACACACAAAACATTATGATTTTTAGTGTTACTTTACTACTTTTTACCGTTTTCTAACACGAGCAAAACAAAGAAAACTATCCTTATATTTACTAGTGGGAAGTTACAATGATTTAAACTGAATAACCCTGGACATTCAGATTAGTTGGAAAAGCTAACTAGAACTACGACGCTAAGCTAATGCTAACGAGGCTAAGCGCAAGACATTACTTAGGAAGGTTTTTATTAAAATAAAAAGTAAATGGTGACGTCAAACGCTTACCTCTCAAATCAAACTATGCTATCAACTTATCCAGAGTATACACCTGTCTTGATACTTATCACCCGACTGTTAACTTCTTCCCGGTAGGTCCTAGCTCCGGTATTTGCTAGAGAGCTACCAGGCTACACGGAAGTGACGTCAAGGCGGTAGCGGAAGCGCAGTTGAAGGAGAAGCAAAGATGGCGAATCTCGTGGAGGCGACTAGCCGACAGCAGTTTGAGGAGCTCCTCTCTAAAGCCGGGAAGAACCTGACCGTGGTGCACTTCCAGGCGGAGTGGGCTCCTCAGTGCGGACAGATGAACGACGTGATGGCCGAGCTGGCCAAGCAGCACGCGCAGGTGGCCTTCGTCAAGATGGAAGCCGAATCGGTGGCCGAGGTGTCGCAGAAGTATGAAGTCTCCTCGGTGCCAACGTTCCTTTTCTTCAAGGCGGGAGAGAAGGTGGACCGCCTGGACGGGGCGCACGCCGCGGAGCTGACCAAGAAGGTCCAGCGCCTGGCCGGGTACGGGGGTCCGGATGACGGAGGAGCAGCGGCGGGGTCGGACCTGAACCAGCGGCTGAAGAAGCTGATCAACGCCGGGCCCTGCATGCTGTTCATGAAGGGCTCCCCGCAGGAGCCCCGCTGCGGCTTCAGCCGGCAGATCGTGGCGCTGCTGAAGGAGCACAACATCCGCTTCAGCAGCTTCGACATCCTGTCCGATGAGGAGGTCCGGCAGGGGCTGAAGACCTACTCCAACTGGCCCACGTACCCGCAGCTGTACGTGAACGGGGAGCTGGTGGGCGGGCTGGACATCGTGAAGGAGCTGGCCGCGTCCGGGGAGCTGGAGAACACCTGCCCGAAGGCCGTGAGCCTGGAGCACCGCCTGAAGACCATCATCAACCAGAGCCCCATCATGCTGTTCATGAAGGGCAACAAGCAGGCCGCCAAATGTGGCTTCAGCAGGCAGATCCTGGAGGTCCTGAACGGGACCGGCCTGGACTATGACACCTTTGACATCCTGCAGGACGAAGAGGTGCGTCAGGGGCTGAAGACTTACTCCAACTGGCCCACCTACCCCCAGCTGTACGTGAAGGGGGAGCTGATCGGGGGCTTGGACATAGTCAAGGAGCTGAAGGAGAGCGGAGAGCTGGTGTCTGTGCTGAAGGGGGAGTCCTAGGTGGGCCGGTGTGTCCACCAGGGATCAGAGAACCTGCTGCACATCAGCTGTGAGCTCACAGACAGGTCCAGAGTCTGCTTCAGTCAAACACAAAGACAAGAGTTTCCTTTTGGTCCTCATGTTCAGGCTGTCAGGAACAGGAAGCTGAATCCATCCACATCATTTAGACTTTGGTTCTGGAGAAAAACACTGAAAACTTCCAACTTTATATTTTCTGTTTCCATCCCTCCCTCCTGCAGTAAACTCATCTTCTGTAACCACCTCATGCTGGTTTCTTCACAACATTGTAATTAAACATTTAAAGCCACATGTTTGTTGTGTGGGATATATAAAGTAAAATAACTCATTGTGATGTCAAAACTACTTATGTTCTTACGATAAATCTCCTTGTTTTTGTAAAATATCTCCTTCAAAGCTGGAGTGCAACACAAACCAGTTATTACAAAACATTTGTTTATTAGGTTAAAAACTAGTGAGTCACCTTCAGAAACTCCTTCAGGCTGGACATCCTGGTTGGTTGTCTCCATCTTGTGGAAGAAAAAAAGTTTCTCATTACGCCTAAAATTCAAAATATTTAATCAGTAAGAAAACAATTTATGGATTATTAAATTTTTAGAAATGAGTTTTATGTTGTTTATTTAAAAAATGCATGTTTAAACGTCCAAAGCAGTTAAGATCCAATGAAATATTAAATGTTTCTAAGCTTTCAGCTTGAAGTCATCATTACTGAACAAAAAAGAGGTCAGAAAGGTTCATATAAATGTTTTTACAATGACAACCTGTCATCTCATTTAGAGTCAACTTGTTCCACAAACTGGGGAGTGGAAGGATTCCAGAAAATAAGTCGCTCAGATCTAAAACCTTCATTTAATAAAACAAATACTTACAAAAACAATATTTATTACATATAAGCCAAAATAAAAACAATATTTTAGAAAATATTGTCCTAAAGATGGCTGAGAGCTGAAGTGTGCTCACGAAGCTGAGTTGTTGATGCCAACAGATGCAGAACACTGGCTAAAAGCTAAAGGGAGTCAAATGAAAGTCAAAAGCTACTAGATAAAAGTAGCTGAATGGTAGCTAAAATTAGCACACAAAAAAACAGCAGCTGAAGCAACAGAATGTGTTTAAAGTTGAGATCTAAATTAAATTTTCTGAGAAAAACCTTTTAAAAAGTGTAAAAGTTGTAAAAGCTTTATTCAGAGCAGCCGATGAGCTGAATGTTTCAGCAGCTGAAGCAGTCTGCAGCTCAGCGTTTAAACACCGACACAACATTTAGATCAGGGGCGCCCAAACATGTTCCCCGAGAGGAAAACCTACCTGGGGCTGCGGACCAACTGCAGAAATATAATGCATTCAACACAAATACTTTTTAATTAATCTCCTTTAATTAATTATGTTTAATCATAATCTTTCAAAGATAAAGTCAGCACCAGTGAAACCTATCTGCACCACAGCCCCTCACTGGGCCAATGGATCAAATGTCTGAGTGGAAATACAGTGTTTCTAAAGAGGTTACACCTGGTGGGCCATGTCACATAGCTTGTCAGGCCAAGTTTGGCCCGTGGGCCCCACTTTGGGCTCCTCTGATTTAGATTGAAATCTGATCAGATCTGCAGTAAAACCGTTTGGAGCTTCCTCTGAATAAAAAGATGCTCCTGTTCTGAAGTCCAGGATGATGAAAACATGAGTTAATCATTCACAGCTGTTTGTTTACAGACTGTAACATTAAACGCTAAAAACTTTACAATCTGCTGCTTTTAATCGCCTCTAATGAGAAACTAAAGTCATGAAATGAAAGCAGGAGTTTTTATGATGAATAACTGATTCTGTGAAGAGATTTGATCGAACACACCTCTGACCCACAGGGTTTAAAGAGTTTTATAATAAAGCTCAGTTTTCTGAATGTCTGATTCATTTGATCAATAACATTCATTTTTTTTGTTTAAAGTTTATTCATTTAAAAACAACACAAATTCAACGTACAACAAAATTTTAAACTTGTCAAAATGCAATCTTTAAATCAGTTTATTTGAGCTCAGCTGCAGATCAGGAGTTAATGATTGACCTCCTCCCACATCTTATTAAACATTACTGAGTCACAGACCACGGCCTTTTGATCATTCATTCAGGCTGTAGGGATGTCGGCCCAAGTTTGGTCTTATTTTCTGTATTTTTATTCGTTTTTCTATCAGCTGATTGATCCCTGCAGTAATCCTGAGCAGCTGCTTGTGAACTCTGTGGACCGACAGCAGGTGAGAATCAGACTCTTATTCATCAGAATGATGATGAGGGTTAAATATATTTCATGCTCTGATGTTTACAGCAAATCTGCATTTTCCACCTCCTCTGTTCTTTCCAGTAGTGGTCTCAGCAGCGAGACGTGGGCTTCCGTCTTTAATTAATTTCCGTTCTTGTTCTATGTGGTTAGCCCGGGCCGTCACACTTACGCCTCCTTATTTCTGCCTTTTTTTAGTATCTAGGAAAATGGTTCTTTAAGGCAGCTGTCAGTCACAGAGAGGCTGACATCCACAAGTTCAGAGTGCTGGACAGCATCGTCTTCACCATGGAGGAGACGTCCAACAATACTCTGGTCCTGACTGGACACATGCGCATGTGAGGAGACAGGTTCACACGAAACACACAACCCTGTAGTGCAGGGGGTCCAGTCTAACAGCTGGAGGTCCAGAGATGTTCACAAATCAAACACTTTAAGAACACTGAGATGGTTTTACTGAAGAAACTCAAACCATTCGAGTTAAAACAAATGCTAAGATGGACAAAAACAAGCTAAAAACAGCAGACATCAGCTAAAACAGCAAAGAAGAGGCTAAAATGAACAAAACACAAGCTAAAAATAGCAGACATCAGCTAAAAACAGCAAAAAAGAGGCTTAAATGAACAAAACACAAGCTAAAAACAGCAGACATCAGCTAAAAACAGCAAAAAAAGAGGCTTAAATGAACAAAACACAAGCTAAAAACAGCAGACATCAGCTAAAAACAGCAGACATCAGCTAAAAACAGACAAAAAGAGGCTAAAATGAACAAAACACAAGCTAAAAACAGCAGACATCAGCTAAAAACAGCAGACATCAGCTAAAAACAGCAAAAAAGAGGCTTAAATGAACCAAAGACAAGCTAAAAATAGCAGACATCAGCTAAAACAACAGACATCAGCTAAAAACAGCCAAAAAGAGGCTAAAATGAACAAAACACAAGCTAAAAACAGCAGACATCAGCTACAAACAGCAGACATCAGCTAAAAACAGCAAAAAATAGGCTAAAATGAACAAAACAAGCTAAAAACAGCAGACATAAGTTAAAAACAGCAAAAACGAGGCTAAAACGAACAAAACACAAGCTAAAAACAGCAGACATCAGCTAAAAACAGAAAAAAAGAGGCTAAAATGAACAAAACACAAGTTAAAAACAGCAGACATCAGCTAAAAACAGAAAAAAGAGGCTAAAATGAACAAAACACAAGTTAAAAACAGCAGACATCAGCTAAAAACAGCAAAAACGAGGATAAAATGAACAAAACACAAGCTAAAAACAGCAGACATCAGCTAAAAACAGCAAAAAAGAGGCTAAAATGAACAAAACACAAGCTAAAAATAGCAGACATCAGCTAAAAACAGCAAAAAAGAGGCTAAAATGAACAAAACACAAGCTAAAAACAGCAACAAAGAGGCTAAAAAGACTAGAACATAAAACAGAAGAACAAACTAAAGGTAGAAAACACTATCTTAAAGCAGTAAAACAATAGTTAAAGTCTAACAGGATCAAAAATTAAGCTAAAATGAATACAGGCTGAAATCAACATAAAGGTAGTAGCTAGAAGCTTGTGAAAGTAGACTAAAAGCTAAAAACAGAATAACAAACTCAAAGCAAAAAGCAGTAGCTAAAACAGAAGAACAAAAGCTAAAAGGAGCAGAATAATAGCAGCTATCAGGCTAAATGGTTACAGGGTGAAATTAGCTGAAAACAAGCTCATAGAACTGATCAAAAGTAACAGAGCAGCTAAAGCCACGCTAAATGAACAAAACTGCAGCTAAACAGTGAAACAAACACTAAATAGAGATAAACAGATAAAAACAACCAAACAGATGCTAAAATAACCAAAAACCACAGCTAAAACTAGTAATACTGTAAAATCAGCTGAACAGATGCTAAAACTAAACTAAACTAAAATTACCCAAACTTTAGTTAAAAGGTAAATAAAACAAAAAATATGGCAAAGATGCTTGATTTTAAAGAGAAGAATGATAAATGTGTTACTATGAGGGTCATATTTGTGAATAAATATAATATTTAAATAAAAATAGAAGTCATGCCTCATTTTTTTCATAGCAGGAACAAGCAGAAAGAACCTGTTTGAGTCTAAAAAAAAACCCCACAGAAGAAACTGTAAACATGAAAACAAGACGATTGTTCTCCTGAAACCAACTGATCTCATCAAGTGAAACTAGACGTAAAAACAAACTAATCTGAGTTAAGGCTGGGTTTCAGTTAGAGGCAATGAGACACAAATAAATAAATAAATAAATAAATAAATACATAAATAAATAAATAAATATCTGTGTCAGATGATGTGTCACTGAAGTACAAACAGAAACCAAAAAGGAGGAAGTTAGAAATAAAGACAAAAAAAAGTGGTTCGATTCAAAACTGAAAGTATTTTGGTTTTATTTGAATGGCTTCATTTTTAGTTTTAACTTTTTTTTCTTTTTCTTTTTCTTCTTTTTTAGAGGAGATGACTGCATGAAGCAGACCTGGACCTATCAAATCCATCCTGAGAGGGAGGAGCTTCTGCTGGAGGGTAAGAAACAAATACTTATCTACTTTTACATTTAACTGTCTGACCCTGTAGTTTTTAAACTTTTACATGACTTTGTGACAAAATCATTTTCATCTGCTTTATGTTGCTGAATTATTATCCTTAAACTTTAACATCAGTGCTATATAAAAATAATTTTTTTTTTTTACATTTCTGAATTAAAAAGAAGTAAACAGATTTAAAACATTTATTCTGCACCTTAAAGGAGAAAGATAAAATCTACTTTCTTCAATAGTATAACACAAGAAAATAATATTAGTCTTTTTAAAGAAACATATCATCCTCCACTGGTTGATGAGATATTTTGCTAACAAACAGACAAACACATGATCATTGCAGTGAGTGGGAACAGTATAAAAAATAAATCTAACTTAAAAGTCTCACATCGGTCTGAAGTGTTTCAGAGGTCAGACCAACATGGTGGAAGAAAATAATCTAACATAATCTTATAATTCTCACAAAAAGGATTAGAATTTTAATAACTTTATGTAATAAATCATCAATAACAAAACTTTCATGTTTTGCTCAGATCTGCAGATAAACATGTTCAGATGGACGTAAAGTGGTGTGCTTTACATCTGACTCCATCTACACTGCAACACCATAGTCTTATCAGTGTGTGTGTGTGTGTGTG